CAGAATAATGAACCCTCAGCATTATGTCCTCTAAAAGCACTTTATACTGATTTAAGACTGCCTGTACATTTCTACCAATGCCCCGTCTCCTCTATAATGTTCATGCCCAGCATTATTTTTTAAACTTCAATTACATTTGGCCCAGCCATAGTTTTTTAAATGTGCATTGTGTTTTGTTATGTTTATGCTATTTGTGTATGAGGCTTATTTTATTTACTTTCTATTGTGATTGTTATTACTTGGATTGATGTATTGTGGGCTCAGCCTCATGTAAGCCGCACCGAGTCCCTTGGGGAGATGGTAGCGGGGTATAAATAAAGTTTTTTGTGTGTGCTTTTTTTTTGTCGTGTCAGGAGTGACTTGAGAAACTGCAAGTCGCTTCTGGTGTGAGAGAATTGGCCGTCTGCAAGGACGTTGCCCAGGGGACACCTGATGATTTGATGTTTTTATCATCCTTGTGGGAGGCTTCTCTCATGTCCCCGCATGAGGAGCTGGAGCTGATAGAGGGAGCTCATCCGCCTCTCCCCAGATTCAAACCTGTGACCTGTCGGTCTTCAGTCCTACTGGCACAGGGGTTTAACCCACTGCGCTATAATAATAATAATAATAATTATTATTATTATTATTATTATTATTAGATCAGTGTACTGGCAGTGGGTCCGTAGATGACTGTGGACCCTATTCTTCATCTGCATCTTCTCCCGCATTGGTTTCCAGATGCAAGGCAGTCCCGGTCAGGGTTGGCTTGATGCGCCTTCCTCCTGGCACGTTTCTTTCACCTCCATTTGTGCCTCTTCAAATTCTGCAGCACTGCTGGTCACAGCTAACCTCCAGCTGGAGCGCTCAAGGGCCAGGGCTTCCCAGTTCTCAGTGTCTATGCCAGAGTTTTTAAGGCTGGCTTTGAGCCCATCTTTAAATCTCTTTTCCTGTCCACCAACACTCTGTTTTCTGTTCTTGAGTTTGGAGTAGAGCAACTGCTTTGGGAGACGGTGGTCGGGCATTGACAAAGTGGCCTGTCCAGCGGAGTTGATGGCGGAGGACCATTGCTTCAGTGCTGGTGGTCTTTGCTTCTTCCAGCACACTGACATTTGTCCGCTGGTTTTCCCAAGAGATTTGCAGGATTTTTCTGAGGCAACACTGATGGAATCGTTCCAGGAGGTGCATGTGACGTCTGTAGATCGTCCACATCTCGCAGGCATATAGCAGGGTTGGGAGGACAATAGCTTTATAAACCAGCACCTTGGTTTCCCTACGGATGTCCTGGTATCTGCTTCATTGGGAAAAATGCTGTACTCGCAGAGCTCAGCAGTGTTGTATTTCAGTGTCAATGTTGACTTTTGTGGAAAGGTAGTTACCAAGGTAGCGGAAATGGTCAACATTTTCGAATGTCACACCATTAAGCTGTATTTCTAGCACTGCAAAGGGACTGGCTGGTGACTGCTGGAAGAGCACTTTGGTTTTCTTGATGTTCAATGAGAGGCTGAGCTTCTCTTATGCTTCTGCAAAGGTGTTTAGAGTGGCTTGTAGGTTTTCTTCTGAATGTGCACAGATGATGTTGTCATCAGCACATTGCAGTTCTATAACGTTATAATGTTGTTGTAACCTTGGTTTTGGCTTTCAGTCTGCTGAGGTTAAATAGCTTGCCATCTGTCCAGTAGATGATTTCCACTCCGGTGGGAAACTTCCCGTCAACAAGATGAAGTATCATAGTGATGAAAACGGAAAATAAAATTGGGGCAATAACACATCCCTGTTTAGAAACCCATGCAGTACAGAATAGGGTAGGTGTTTTTGTTTTTGTTTCTTAAAAGGAATAGGGTGAAAAAGCTTCTGTCTCTTCTGATCTGCTTATTTTAAGTGACTCCAAATATTAGCCTTGGCTTCATCTACACTGGGAAACTAATGCAGTTCAAGTCCACAGTATAATATATAGAAATAATAACATTGTAATATAATAATGCTAATATATAATATTAATAATGTTGTAATATAATATATATTATATATACTACAACAGGGGTCCTCAAACTTTTTAAACTGAGGGCCAGGTCACAGTTCCTTAAACTGTTGGAGGGCCGGATTATAATTTGAAAAAAAAAGAAAGAATGAATTCCTATGCACTTTAAACAATATAATAATTAAAAATCAACAATTTTAACAAATATAAACTTATTAGAATTTCAGTGGGAAGAGTGGACCTGCTTTTGGCTGATGAGATAGGATTGTTGTTGTGTGCTTTCAAGTCGTTTCAGACTTAGGTTGACCCTGAGTGAGGGCCGAGTAAATGACCTTGGAGGGCCGTATCCAATCCCCGGGCCTTAGTTTGAGGACCCCTGTACTACAACTTATGATATGGTCCAATATATTATGTAATACTAATAGTATAATGTATCTTCCTCTTCTCTCATCTTTACTAAAGTAATATCTTGATATCTATTCCTATGTTTAAGTATTTACGTCCTCACTCATTTTTGCTGTAAAGATACACAAAACTCAATAAAAATTCATATTTTAAAAAATAATAGTGTAATATATGTTGTAAAATAATATAGTACAATATAATAATACAGACTATATAATAATGGTATATTATATATTACATGTAATAGTACTAATAACATAGTGGTATACTACAATATAATAACATATAATACTAATATTGTGCTATGCTAATAATATACTATATATACATATACAGGTAATGATATTATAATGTAATACAAATACAACAATACAATATAATAATATAGTATAATAATATTGTATATAGTAATACTAATAAATTAAATATAATACTACTGATAATATATATCATAATACTGTTTTATTGTTGTATATTTGTGCATTTTTAATTGTAGTGTTTTTGACTGTGAGCCGCTTTGAGTCTCCGTATGGAGAAATAAAACAGGATACAACAAATGTGAATTCCCATGCTCAATGCTGTGGAACCCTGGGAGCTGTGGTTTCGCAAGTGCCTTGAGCCAGGGCAGTTCAAGTAGGATCCAAGTGCATTCCTTCCACAGTGCAGATGCACCCATTGCCTTTATCGCCATACATTTAGGAATAGAGCAGTGGTTCTCAACCTGTGGGCCCCCATATGTTTTGGCCTTCAACTCCCAGAAATCCCAACAGCTGGTTAACTGGCTGGGATTTCTGGGAGTTGCAGGCCAAAACACCTGGGGACCCACAGGTTGAGAACCACAGGAATAGAGTCTTTTCCAAGGTGAGAGTAGAATTATTTTCTCTTTGGAGTTTCTCAAACACCCTCTCTGTTGCACCCCCTTGTGGGTAATCCTGAAAGAAAATGATCTATTTGATCAGCATTTCTTAACCTGGGGGTCGGGACCACTGTGGGAGTCATAAGGGAGTGCCGCCAAAGACCATCAGAAAGCACAGTATTTTCTGCTGGTCATGGGGGTTCTGTGTGGGAAGAGAGAGACTAATTGGTGGAGTTCAGAATGCTCTTTGATTGTAGGTGAACTATAAATGCCAGCAACCATAATTCCCAAATGTCAAGGTAAATTTTCCCCAAGTATTCACAATTGGGTATACTAAGTATTAGTGCAAAGTTTGGCCCGGATCCATCACTGTTTGAGTCCACAGTACTCTCTGGATGTAGGTGAACTACAACTCCAAAACTCAAGGTCAATGCCCACCAAACCCTTCCAGTATTTCTGTTGGTCATGGGAGCTCTGTGTGCCAAGTTTGGTTCAATTCTATCGTTGGAGTTCAGAATGCTCTTTGATTTTAGGTGAATTATAAATTCCAGCAACTACAACTTCCAAGTGACTAAATCAATCCCCCTCCCTACCCCACCAGTATTCAAATTTGGGCGTATCAGGTATTTGTGCCAAATTTGGTCCAGTGAATGAAAATACATCTTGCATATCTGATATTTACGTGACGATTCATAACAGTAGCAAAATTACAGTTATGAAGTAGCAACTAAAATAATTATATGGTTGGGGGTCACCATAACATGAGGAACTATATAAAGGGGTCACAGCATTAGGAAGGTTGAGAAACACTGTATTATATCTAGAAGGTATAAATCTTCATTTGGATGGCATGTATTTTTGGATATACAAAAAGAGAAACCGATAGGCATATTCAACCATTTTATACAGAGACCAATCTTAAACAGACACTGGGGTGGATATCTCTGCATGAGGCACATTACAAAAGAGAGAATATTCTACAGGAGAAATGGTTAACCTATAGAGAGCTGATCCAGGCAGAACCAGGAAATATACAAATGAAGATTCTCAAAGAATTGAGCCAAAGGAGCCTTACATGTAATTGGTTTCTATACAGACAGTTGCATGAGAAATTATTATTATTATTATTATTATTATTATTATTATTAAACTGGATATAAGGACTGAAGAAAACTTTAAAGGAGGAACTACCATATTCATAGAAAAGGTGTCTTAGCTGCTTTTGCTATGTCTACTTTAATATGTATACTTTGTCCTTTATCCAAAAAAAACATGGGGGGGGGGGGTGTAAACAAGAAAAAAGTAATAATTGAGACTTAAAAGCCCTTTTCCAACCAGTGGAAACAGGTAACGCCTCCCTTACCAACCTTCTTTACCTGGAACAGATAAAACCCACCCAAATCTGCACAGTCAGAGCTGTGAAACCCATCAGGGCTCCAAAGCTGTAAAGAGAGAGACTCATTTTTACTTAGCACTGAATGAGACCAGTCTAGGTGCTATTTGGAACTCTCGTGGGGAAGAACTACAAGTCCCAGAATCCCCAAACAGCTTGGCTTCTAACCGTCGGAAAAGCAGAATATTAGCAAAGGCAATCCTGGCCGCAGCAGGCATCTAACTATCCAGAATAATTGCTGGTTTCCATGGCCATAAGAAAGCAATTGCAATTGTTGTTGGATGTTGGAACTCCAACCCCCAGCAGCCCCAGTCAATGGTGAAGACTAGGGGAATGTTGATGATTGCCAAAGATATGCATACACTCTGGAAAAAAAACACAAGTGCCTCTGAAAATTATCATAATTTTTTATTAGCTTCAATCACAGGGATTTCCAAGGGGAGAGGAAACAGCAGAATGAAATGTTTACAGAAGGGAAACCAGGGAGAGAAAGATTATTCCACAGGAGAGTCTCCCCTTTTCCTCCTTCCCAGGGGAAGCGAAGAAGCTTTGACTGAGACCCACTTCACTCAGATGCATTTAAAGAATTAAAAGGGGGAAAGAAACATAGGGCACAAAGCCTTAAAATGTCACAGCTATGGCAGGAAGGGAAGGGGTATGAAAATAAATGGCCCGTCCCTGTCTGAGATCCACTGTGAATTCATAATACCAGGGCTACTTTTTTTTCCTTCGCCAACCCTTGTTGCCAAATGGCAGAGTGGCTCCTAATACTGTCGCCTGTCTCCTTGCTCAGGCTCTATACATCCTAGACTTCCAAGAAGCCCAACTTTGAAAAAACACGATGACAGCCTGACCGGCACAACAGGGCAGACGTGTTTCTTCACTCCAAACTGCACCACACAATTGCTCTCAGCGTCACTTTCAACAGCTGGCAGACTCTCTGTACAATAATTATTTGGCATCATTCCTCCCGCCACACAAGACAGAGGAGATAACCCCCAGCTTACAGCAAAATGGGACAAACAGTCCAAAGCCCACCCTGAAGGAAACAGTAGCTGTTTGCCTCTCTTTCTTCTCTACGAACTCAAAGCTCCATACTTTGGTCTGCCTAGCACTGCCTCAAATCCAAGACCAGAGTTAGGTAGCGGCAAAGGAAATACCAATTTTTGCATGTGTTTCACAGCAGAAGTGAGCAACCATGACCTTCTGGAGGCCATTGGGACTGCAGCTAACATCATCCTTCACCATTAACTGTACTGCACAAGGCCTGAGATTATGAATGGCCTCTTAGTAAGAAGTCACCTTTTTGGTAATGCTATCAGCTTTCTTAAACATGCCATATTGTATTTCACTGACTCTAAGGCGCCACTGAATGTGTAAGGCACACCCTGTTTTTAAAACTTTGATTTTAGGAAAAAACAATTTTCTTAGAATATTTTTTAGATTTCAAACCATCCTCTTCTTTTAATATTTTCTTAGAATTTAAAATGCCTTCTTTGAACTTTTTTTTAGAATTTAGAATAACTTGTCATGGTTTCAGTGCAGCTTTGTAGTGCAATCTTTCTTGTGGGGTGAGGAGGGAAGTCTGGAAGTCATCTTGTCTGCATGAGTCTGTATTACTAAGTCTATGGGCCCATTGAAGAGGCAGGGGAAACACAAAGAGGTGCTTAGTTAAAATATCAATAAATAGCCATCTGGCTGAGGCTGAGGCCAAAATGGTGGGGTTCTGGCAGAGCTGTTGGGACTGAGGCCCTTCCTCCTCCTCCTCCTCCTCCTCCTCCTCCTCTCGGAGGTAAGACAATTTAAAAGGGAAACTCCCAAACTGGAACTGTTTGAGGCGGGGGTCCCTTCCTCCTCCTCCCCCTCCTCTTTTTTAAGACAATTTTTAAAAACCCCTAAAACCAGCAAATCTAAGTCACCATTGGATCTAAGGCACACCTCATTTTTGAAGCTTCTTAAAAAGGAAAAATGTACGCCTTACAATCAGTGAAATGTGGTATGTTTAGGACTCCACAAGCCTGAATTCAACAATGCTCTTCTAGCAATCCCCAAAAAATCTGGAAGGTCACAGTTCCCCGATCCTTTTAAAGACGGATATGATTTCCAGACAACCTGCAAATGTCAACACATGATTGCTCAATGCGTGACAAGAGAAGACACAAGCGGCTGAGGAAGCACATATTGAATGGCACTCCTAGATTGGGGTCTATGGGCCAGACCAACCTAAATCCAGCACTGTATTTCCTGCCTACCCCATTACTGTGGCTTTCTTACTGCCCAATCCCTAGCTCAGTGGGCTAGAGAGAAATGGACCTCAAAGTACGCATAGGTACCGAGGTGTTTGATTGTGCACATGCAGCTGTAGACTCGCAGCACACCAAAGAGTTATGGCACACCTGTAAAAAAACATCTTAGCGTTAAATGGCAAATCAACACCCAGGAGCTAATATCAGCTTCTCCAACAGATTATGAAGCTCAACTCCAAGTAAGCTACATATTTGAGCTCTTTCTCATGGCAGAAGTAAATTAAGACTAGCTTGAAATCCTGGAACACTAGACTTTGAGAGGAAAGCAAACAATTCAAAATACAGCAGTTTACATGTTATTTTCTTTTCTTTAAAAATCTGTTCCAGTTGAGCTCGGATCAATAGAAAAGCTAATTAATAAAAGCAAATTAATAATAATAATAAACACGCACACTCCTTGCACATTCCCCCTCTCCCGACCCACCCACCCCCAGTTTGAAAAAGACAACACTTATGTTAATCGCTGTGTTTAACAAAGCATCAAGATTATAGATGCAGGAACCAACACAACCAGGGCCCTGCCCAGAACAATCAAGATATGAAAGTCATTCGTTGAAAATTATTTCAAAAAACTAAACATTTCCATACAAGAGATTAAAAGTTGTTCTGTTATTAATTCGAGACTCAGTGTATAAATCCATTATCCCCACCCAAACACACAGTATTCGGTTTGATAGCAAAAGACAGTCTCTCACACACAAATCGAGAGAGAGAGAGATAGAGAGAGAGAGAGAGAGAGAGAGAGAAGACACACTGAGGCATGTATTAAAACTAGTTGATAGAAAAAAAAGGATTATTGCTCAAAAGGCTGTCTCTTTAGGACATATTTCATTGATTTGTAAATGAAGAACAGAGACAGACAGAAAGAAAAAAGGCAACGCTGACACCTCTACTCTTCTCTTGCCTTTCAAGTGAAATCACTACACAGGTTATTCTCATGCCTACCTAAAAACTCAGGTCTGGGAACCCTGGGAGGCCTTGCTTATTCAGATTTTTTTTCATATTGTAATACATTTCTCCAACCTCACCAAGAGCACCTTGTGTTAGAGGAGTTTTGATGGCAGCAACAGTGGAGAACGTAGTATCTCAAAAAGTGGGAGATGTTCAATTTGGAGAAGGGATAGGGGTACAAACAGAGCCGACATCAACCTCTGGTGATGAGAGTCATGCTGGACATTCCTCTAACGCTGCAGCCTCGTCTCTCTGCAGCGTTAAGAGGAATAGACACATGGGCAGGGAGTAGGCCATCAGGGCTGCACCCAGGGGTAACTTTTATTGGCTTATCCTCACAATGAAACCAATTTTACTTGAAGCCTGGCTATCAAGAAGGCATGATGCAGCCATCAGAGGTTGTTTGTCAGCCCTTTCCTCTCAAAGGGAGCCTCCTTCCCTATTTCCCCTCTTAGTTTGGCTCAGATGTCAATCCAGTATCATAATCGCAGTTTCTCAGCATCTCCTGGCTAAATTGCTTTCTAATTGAGTGGTCCATGGTGAATTGCTCTCTGGATTCACCACTTTTCCAAAGCAGCTCTAAGCATCTCATCCTCTCCATTCCCAACTCATCCTTCATTCACCCATTCATTCATTCATTCACTCATTCATTCAGTCACTCATTCCTCTTCTCAGCCCACCATGGCCACAGGTTGCTGAAACATGATAATGTCCAAAGAGGCAAGCCAACCAAAGGCTGCTGAATTTGGCCTTAACAGAAGAGTTTCAAGAAGCAGTTCTGACAGTAGGGCTTGTCATTTTGCTCCTTGAAGGTTCCTTTGTTGAGCTGCTTGAGACAGAAGGCACAGACAAAGTGTTCAGGATGAAATTTCTTGGCCATTGCAGTGATGCAGCGCCCTGTGATGGGCTTCTGGCAGCCAGAGCACAGTGAGCCCCGGCGCTCATGATAATGCACCTCACAGTAGGGCTGCCCATCGTGTTCAAAGAAGCTGCCATTGATGAATGGAGTGAAGCATTCCTGTGGGGAGAAGAAACAACACAGTTGGTGCTGGGACTGGAAAAGCACTCCCCTAGTAGCAGAATGTGGCTCCAAATGAGGGAATCCCTGCCACAGCAAGCAATTGAAGATTTTTGTTGCTGTTTAAGAAATACTGGGAGAGAAAGAGTAGTGCTTGTCTTCTGCCAGCAGGAACCCAGCAAGGCTTAGCAAGTATTGAAGCATTATGATCTCCAAGCACTCCAACTCTGCACTAGAGATAGCCCTGCCCATTTCCTAGGAGCCATTTGAATCAAAGTACGTATTGCCCATCTGCCAAGGTAAGTCGGGACTTTAAAAAGCTTAGAAAAAGGAATTTATTGTATTTGCTGACATTTTCTCCCTTAAACCTGGTGATAAATGGAAAGAAAAGCAAACCCTGAAGTGTGCTCACCCGGCAGACAAAACACTCAGGGTGCCAGAGGGTATTCAAGGCAGAGATGTAGTTTTCCAAAATGGCACGAGCACAACCTCCACACTTGGGAGCAAACATGTCAAAGTAATCCTTGCGACAGTAGGCCTTGCCATCCTTCTCATGGAAGCCTGCCAAAGGAGCAAGAGGTATACAAGATTTTAAAGAACTGTTAGCCAACTAACAAGATATTGCAGTGTACCAACTGCTGCTCTGGGCCAGAGTGGAGAGGGGGGCAGAAGACAGTTCCACCTTGTCTATGCTTATAATATAATATAATATAATATAATATAATATAATATAATATAATATAATATAATATAATATAATATATTGTATATACATATATTTATAATATTATAATGTAATACAATATAATAATACTACTAATAATATGATTTTATAATTATATATTTTATATTACATGTAATATTACTAACAATATTACAATATAATGGTATAGTGCAATATAGTAATATATAATACTGATATTGTACTATGCTAATAATATAATATATTGTATGTATAAATATCTTGTAAACCGCTCTGAGTCCCCTTCGGGGTGAGAAGGGCGGCATATAAATGTTGTAAATAAATAAATATTTGAAATGTCAGGTAGGGATCTACCAATGTAGGAATGGGTCCATCTTACTGAACATTGCCCCATCTGAAAAGCCTAATTCACAGTCCTTTTCTGCTTCACTAAGCAACCTAGTTTCCAGAAAAATCTATTTGGGGATAAGCCCCACATCTTGAATGCATTTGGATTAGAAAGCGATTAACCTTCTGGGTCAGATGGGCTAGGGATCCTAACATTTTTTGTAATTATGTGCCATTTTTCGGCTGAATTAGATACTTTGGTATGTTCCTGATCTCACATTTTGTACACTTCAATTGCTATAAGACACCTTGAACTTTTTTTTCAAGGGAATAGATCTTTAACAAGTTTTTAATGGTAGCAATGATGCATGCTATAATGCAGAGAGAAGTAATTGCTGTGTAGAAAGTCTGACCTTAAGGATGACCAGACTGCCTTAATATTTCTCACTGTATTGCATCCATTCTTATGGGGCAGTTCACACATCCAACAAGCCACACCGAATTCCCTGCATGCAAATCTATGCAAGAAGCATTGAAAGCCGTACCTTCAGGACCAAAGAATGCTCCACACTGCGCACAGAAAAAGTGTTCCGGGTGCCATGTCCTGTCCAAGGCCGTCACCACTTTCTGAGAAGGAGAAACCAATGCAAAGTAATCCTGACATACAAACACTGTGTTTCTATACGCTGCCACTCTTTCCCAAAATGAGCTCCCAAAGACTTGCTTCCTTGTTATCAGAAGGGAATTGAGAGAAAAATTCAAAGGCACACGCATTACCACTAAATTTTTGCTATAATTTCTAAGCCACCTTTTGAGAGCAGAGTGTTCCTAAGGTGGCTTCCCCAGAAACTGCCAAGTGTCCTGATACATAGGTGAGGGGAAGCAGCACCTAAGGCGAAATGTCCAAGGACATTGTGACACCTAGATTAAAAGTAAAGGCAAAGACAATCAGATGTTCTCCATGCATGGCCCACAGGGAGAATCCAGCGAAATAGTAAATACCACCACTATACTACTACTACTAATACTAATTGACAAGATATTGACAAGCTGGAATGTGTCCAGAGGAGGGCGACTAAAATGATCAAGGGTCTGGAGAACAAGCCCTATGAGGAGCGGCTTAGGGAACTGGACATGTTTAGCCTGAAGAAGAGAAGGCTGAGAGGAGATATGAGCCATGTATAAATATGTGAGAGGAAGCCACAGGGAGGAGGGAGCAAGCTTGTTTTCTGCTTCCTTGGAGACTAGGACGCGGAACAATGGCTTCAAACTACAAGAGAGGAGATTCCATCTGAACATGAGGAAGAACTTCCTGACTGTGAGAGCCGTTCAGCAGTGGAACTCTCTGCCCCGGAGTGTGGTGGAGGCTCCTTCTTTGGAAGCTTTTAAGCAGAGGCTGGATGGCCATTTGTCAGGGGTGATTTGAATGCAATATTCCTGCTTCTTGGCAGGGGGTTGGACTGGATGGCCCATGAGGTCTCTTCCAACTCTTTGATTCTATGATTCTATGATTCTAATAATAACAACAACAACAACTTTAACAACAACAACTTTATTTGTAACCCATTCTATCTCCCCAGGGGGACTCAGGACAGAACATAACTAGAGGAGAATCACTCAAATTACCACACGGGCCAGGCTATAACCTATTGTTCCCACAGTAAGTTTCACTACTCTCATACTTCCACTTGTCCAGCTACAATCCATTGCAAGAATCAGCCACTCCATGCATTGCTGGCAACTACTGATTAGAAGCTGTAGTAACTCGATGCTGAGAGTATGAACTATAAGGTTACTAGTCGAAAGCTCACTTTAGTCATGAGCTCACCAACAAAGTCTCTGATCTGTATTATGGGGACAACACAAGTCTACTTTACAGATTGGTCATACAAATAATATGAAGAGTGTACATTGAACTCCTGGGAAAGGCACTATTATAAATCAGAGGTGGGCAAACTTCCAGGAGCCAAGGAAATGCCCCATCTCAGGATCCTACAAGGGTTACTCCAACCACCAAAAAAAAATCTACGAAAAACAACACAAAAGCAGTATAGAGTTATGAACTGGAAGTGGCTGGAAATGCACTCTGGAGTCTTTTTAAATGTTATTTTAAAATTTTCTAAACGTGATGCAGAAATGGCACTGGAGACTGCATGTGGCATGAAGTTGATTCCAATACCTGAGATACATGCAATATATTGTGGATGTTTTTGCTTTGTTTCTAAAGAAGTAGAGTGAAAATCACATGTAAAATGATGGACCTATGCACATGTCATCATTTATGTAAAAAAACAACAACCAGTGCAAATAGAATTGGGATTACTTGCATCTGCTAGTCAAGTGCAAAGGAAAGTGTATGAAAAAGAACAGAATGCACAAAGCAGAGAAAAGGTGAGTAAACGATTCTGGTGTAACCCAGGAATCAATAAAAAGGAAACAAGGCAATAGATATATCAGACTCACATCCAGGATAGGGCCATTGCAGTAGTAACAGCGAGGGGAGAAGAGATTGTGATAGTCCTTCTCGCAGTAGGGCTGGCTATCACGCTCAAAGAAGTTCCGTGACCCGATCTCCTCCTGGCAATGAGTGCAGACAAAGTGTTCTGGATGCCAAGTCTTGCCCATCGCTGTGACAACCTGATGGGGAAAGAAGAAAGCCTGGTCTCCAGCAGATGCTCCACATCTCAAGCATGGGCATCTCACACAGAACAATACACCAGACAGAGCTCTATGCACATGAAAGAGCAAGACCTAAGAACTTGGGTGGATCCCTGGACTGGTAGCATGAAAACTGAATTACCTATCATCTCAGAAGAGGGCAGTCCCTCATGGGCAGGGTAGAGGTCACTGGAGGAGCTTACAGCGTACCTGGCCAGTGGATAAATAGAGTACTTCAGTTTCTCCAGCATTGCCAGTCCATTCATCCCTGATTCAAAAGCCCTCCCGGTTGAAGCTCAAGACTCACATAGAAAGGGCCTGTCCCTCAACTCACCTGTCCAGCAATTGGTTTCTTGCAGGCTCCACATACACCTTTGGCCACGGTTGCTACTCCCAGTTTGTTCAAGTCAGACTGGAGGCTTCCAAGCATGCTATCCAACTGGCTACCAGGTTTTGGAGGAGTAGATGATGGGTAGTTATTCCCACCTTTCCCTTGGGACATGAACTGCAAGAGAAAGAAAAAACAAAGGCCATCAGGCACGGAAACACACTAGACCGGATGAAAGCTCAGCGAAAGTTCTGTTGTCCTAATTCATGGACAATGATGATATAAGAACAGAAGGTGCCAAAGGATCACACTCAAGGCTAAAATGTTTTCAGAACAAAGCTCCCCAAGTGAAGGGGTCGACACTTTTTAACATCTACAAAGCCAAGGCACAGCTCTTAACAGAAAAGACAAGGTAACTTTTTCAACTTCCCAAGCAGCACAGATAAGCACAACAAATTCCTAAAATGCCAGACAAAGAAAAAGTATTCGGCAACACAAAGAAAAAATATTCGAACAAATCCACTCTGTGCTTACATGAGCCATAATTATAAACTTATCACAATGGTTATATTTTTACTATAGCAAGGCCCTTTAGAGGAACTGTCTTGTGCTCCAATTAACATGGCTAAGAAGAGGCATACATACACTCCTCTGAAAAGGAAAGCTGTGTTAAGTGCGAAGAAATAAGCAAATGCTTCATTTATATGGAATAAAGGAACATGGGGGTATTCCTTATGTATTTCATATCCCATCTTTCTCTCAGCACAGAACCCAAGGTAGCCTCTGAAAAAAAGGTGCCCCATCACAATATTTCTGCTCTAAGTCTTCTAAAGACCAATTAGCAAATTATCAAACACCTCTGCACAACCATATGGTCACTTTTAAAAACTGATTTGCTCACTGTGAGTCTACGGGAGAAAGTTCCCAAGAAATCATGTTAAGATCCAATTCATGTTAAGCAACACACTAACATAGGGCACAGCCTTATAGAAAAAAGGGAGTTTCCCATTGCAATGAGACTTGCTCAGGGTATCGTCCTGGAGGATTCTTGCCCATATTTAATGGCACTCAAACTGTTACACAGGACAGCCACCACACTTTGCCCTACCAAAGGGTTGCCTATGCCTCCTGCCTACTAGCAGAGGTAAGTCATTTTCTGTCTGAGCAATCATCTCAAACACCGTAAAACAGACACAAGCTGTTTACAATGTCACACGCTGCATTCAGACAGTGAACTCTCAATCTGAAAGCCAATGCACCAATGAACCCCATGCAGTCATTCCACTCATCCCTTTGCACAAGGCGGAAAACAAAACGAGAAGTCTATTAGGCATCCAGATTGGAGAACAATAGCTTCCAAACATGAAGCCATGGCTTAAGCTTGGCTTCCAAATCCTGGGGCAATTTGGAAACCATTGTGGTTTCGACACAAAAGGAAGCTACAGTTCAAATTTGGCTTCCTCTCTTCTTTTTCTGCTCACACCAAGGCAGGTATAAGAGATCATTCATGTATCAGCTTATAAAGTTAAAGTCTGGGCATTTGGAGTTGTCGGTAACTTGTTCATACTATGCAACTGCTTTCTCCTCCTCCTAAACACTCAGTAAGGTCATTAGAGAAAAAGTGCAAGAGACAGGCCAATGAAAGAACAATTAGGAAAACACAATATGGAGGAGGCCAGTGCACAGAAAACTTTGTCCCTGTGATAACTGAATTTTGAAAACATTGGCTTGTTGTAGAATCAAGAATTGGTGATAAAGTTTCAGCGGAAACAACTTTTCCCCATGATAATAACTCTTTCAGGAGTGAATTTTTCCTTCCTGGGGGTAGATTTCTCTCATTTCCTGTTGTCTCACCCCCATTCTTAAATACAAGTTGTTCATAAGTCAGATGTTTGTAACCCAGGGACTACCTGTAATTACTATCTTCATTCCCATCTGAGAGAGCCTATGCTATCTAAAGCTTATATAGCTTGGGGACCCAGCAGTGCCCGGGTTATTTGAGAAAGGCTATGATTGCTTTCGGAAGTTTGGTAATGTGTAACGCTATTTATTAGAGAAAAGCCAGTCTTTCCTTTTGGTTTTTTATGAATACTCCCATTAGAAAATGCATAAGGATGTGGGTGAACTACAATTCCCAGAATCATGGGTCAATCCTTCCCAAACACTGCCATTATTCAAAGTTGGCCATATTGGGTCTATGTGCCAAGTTTGGTTCAGATTCGACATCAGCTGGGTTCAGTGATATCTAGATAAGGGTGAACTACAACTTCCAGATTCCCAGGGCAATCACCCCAAAAACCCTGCCAGTATTCACAGTTGGGCATGTTGGGTCTGTGTGCCAAGTTTGAGCCAGATCTATTGTCGGCTGGGTTCAGTGTTCTCTAGATGTGAGTGAACTACAACTTTCTGAAATGAAGGTCAATRCCCCCCCCCCCCCCAAAATATGTTCAGTTGGTCATTGGCTTCTCTGTGCCAAGTTTGGTCCTGGGCCATTGTCAGTGGAGGTTAGTTTCCTGGATGAAGGTGAATTATAACTCGCATAAATCAAGGTCAATTTTCCCCAAACATCTACTGTATTGTTCTCTTGGTCATGGGGAGTCTGTGTGCCAAGTTTGGTCCAGGTCCAGGTCTGTCATTCATAGGGGGCACAGTGGTCTCTGGAAGTGAGTGAAGGTACTGCAAATCCCATCATCCATGGTCCATCCTTCCCCAAACCGTACCAGGATGTAAAGTGGGTCACAGGAGTTATGTATGCCAATTTTGTTCCAGGTTTATCATTCGTGGGGGTCACAGTGCTCTGTGGGAGTTTAAGGTAGTGCAAATCCCATCACCCATGGTCCATCCTCCCCCAATCTGCACCAGGTCTTCAAGTGGATCATGGGGGTTATGTGTCCAGGTCCGTCATTCATGAGGGTTGCAGTGGCCTGTGGAAGTGGGAGCCAATCAGAAACCTACATACATACCCACATACACACACACAAGTTTGGGTACCCGGCAGTGCCCGGGTTATTTGAAAAAGGCATTGTTTGCTTTGGGGTGTTAGGTAATATCATTTTGTTAATTAATAACACTATTTATTACAAAAAAGCCAGTTTTTGATTTCTTTTTTTTTTTTATGAATGCTCCCATTAGAAAATACATAAGAATTTGGGTGAACTACAATTCCCAAAAATGTGGGTCAATCATCCCCAAACCAGGCCTGTATGCATAGTTGGCCATGTTGCATCTGTGTGCCAAGTTAGGTCCAGATCTGACGTTGGCTGGGTTCAGTGCTCTCTGGATGCAGGTGAACTACAACTCCAAAAATCAAGATCAATTTCCACAGTATGTTCCCACAGTATATTCAGTTGGTCATGGGGCTTCTCTGTGCCAAGTTTGGTCCAGGTCCATTGTCAGTGGGGGTCACTGTTTCTCTGGATGCAAGTGAACTACAACTCTCAGATTCTCAGGGCAATCACCCCCAAACTCGGCCTGTATTAACAGTTGGGCATGTTGGGTCTGTGTGCCAAGTTTGTTCCAGACAGTAAGATCTATTGGCAATCAGCGTTCTGTGCACCACATGTGTTCCAGATTTGAAATTGGGAGTTCAAAATGTTCTCTGGGTGCAGGGTGAACTACAACTTCCTCACTGGTAGGTTGGTCCCCCCACAAACATCTCCAGTCTGTTGTGTTGGTCACCAGGGTTCTGTATGCCATGTTTGGTACTGATCCATCATTGGTGGGGTTCAGAATGCTCTGGGTGCAGGGTGAACTGTAACTCCCATGTGGCTGGGTCAGTTCTCCAAACTCCTCCAGTATATTCTGTTGGTCATGGAGATTTCATGTCCCAAGTTTGGTCCAGGCCCATCATTCATGGGGGTCGCAGTAGTCTGTGGAAGTGGGTGAAGGTACTGCAATTCCCATCGTCCTTGGTCCATCCTTCCCCAAACTGCACCAAGACATAAAGTGGGTCATGGGGGTGTGTCTATGTGGCAAGTTTGGTCCAGGTCCGTCATTCATGGGGGGTCGCAGTGGTCTCAGGAAGTGAGTGAAAGTACTGAAAATCCCATCATCTGTGGCAAGTGTGGTCCAGATTCATCGTTGGTTGGGTTCACAGTGCTCTCTGGATGTACGTAAGCTAGAACTCCTATAAATCATGGTGAATTCTTCCCAAACCTATTGTTCAGTTGCTGATCAATTCCTGTTTGCTGTGTGCCATAGAAAAGGGTAGGAAAGGAGAGGCAATGGGCAGAGTCATGCAGCAATGGAAAGAGTAAGGAACCCTAGGGTGTCCATTCTGGAGGAAAAACAGAACATCTAGGATGAAATTGTCCCCAAATGAAAGCCTTCACTTGGGTGGTGGGCAGTATGGTGTTTGGGGAGGACATTGGTCGGGTTTGGGCTACATGGTCATGGCGCCTGCTGTAACCTGTAATGTCCTTGGAGGGAGAGCTTTTGATGGCTCTTCAGCACTGTGGGTTAAAGCTGTTTGTGGAGGTGGGAGGCTGTCTGTGTAAGTGGACACCTCCGCCACATACACACTTTCACTTTTATTATGTGTATAGATATATAGATATGGATGGATGGGGTTACACTTTAAAATGTGCCTGTTCTGACTTACATACAAATTCACCTAAAGAACAAACCTACAGAACCTATCTTGTTTGTAACTTGGGGATTGCCTGTACAGAAATACACGGCTGTACAGGTAGCTTTCTTCTATTGTTATAACAACAAGGATGATTAGAAGAACACCTGTTCCATTTTGCAGCATCCATTTCTTGTGGCTATAGATATCTCCATCATTATTTAAAAATGGACACTTTCACAGGTGGGAGCATTCTTCATCAGCATCCCTCCTACCTGCTGGAGACAAGATGTTCTGCTGTTCTATATGGTGCCTGAGACCCCACATTTTCTGGTTTAAGCATTCATACAGGATTACATTTCTTTCTTCCTCGATGACTGTAGAATTAGAAGATTTTCCATTCAAATAAGCTTGCTCTATCATAGGCTTTGAATGCAATTTTCCTGCTTCTAGATGGCCCATGAGGTCTCTTCCAACTCTATGATTCTATTATTCTATCTACTTCCAAAATATGCCCCAGGGTGTTTTTATTGATTTTTTTTTTTTACAGTATGGCACTATTGCCATACTGAAAACGTTAGTATATTGTCAAAGACTTTCATAGCTGGAATCACTGGGTTGTTGTAAGTTTTTCGGGCTATACGGCCATGTTCCAGTAGCATTTTCTCCTGACGTTTCGCCTGCATCTATGGCAGGCATCCTCAGAGGTTGTGAGGTCTGTTGGATTTTGTTCATTTCAGGCACTACAGGCTACTTCAACCAGAAGTCAGCCATAGCAAACCACCTGATGAACCAACCTGGACGCAGCATATTATTTGAGAACACAGAAATGCTGAACCATTCTAACAACTACCATGTCAGGCTACACAGAGAAGTCATTGAAATCCATATGCATGTGGACAATTTAACAGAAAGGAAGAAACCATGAAAATGAACAAAATCTGGCTACCAGTACTTAAAAGCTCTAAAATCATAACAGTAAATAAAGAACAACACCTCAAAACAGGGAAATTCCAGACAAGAAACAATCAGGGCCAGCTAATCACCTCCCAAAAAAGGATTCCAGCAGGCAGCAAGAAGCCAGACTTTGAAACTGTCAGGCTATTAAATGTTAATCATTGTGGCCAATTAAAATATTCACACCTACCCCCAACAGACCAGAGTTCCTTCTCCCCCCTGGACATTCCACAGGGATATAAACCCAATTTTCCTAGTTTCCAATAGACCTTACAACCACTGGGGATGTCTGCCATAGATGCAGGTGAAACATCAGGAGAGAGTGTTTCTGGAACATGGCCACACAGCCCGGAAAACTTACAACAACCCAGAAAACATTAGTAGTCACTTTTTAAAAACTAACTCTCCCAATTACACATGTCTGTGTTAGTCATTTGTGACCTGAAAGAAAGTCAAGTTTTATACAACATTCCCATTTTGTTTCCTGCAGTCAATTTTCCCTCTACAATGCAGACTGCTATTTCCCAAGCCCATGACATGGAGTGACCCCAGCCTATTTCAATGATACACTGAAATTCAAGGAATGCAACAAAAGTAAAGGAGGCAACTTAACAGGTTTCAAACATACATGCTCTTCGATGGAAACACTGGACAGATTTTATTATCTGATCCATACCTCCCAGTTCTGCATTTCTTGTCATACTGTAAAATTCCCCAAAAATACTTGAAACATTTGTGAGGAAAAGGAAAAAAGAAGCAAATGTGTGAATGTACAAAGGCATTACAAGTTGGACTTGATGTCCTCTGGGCACTGAAAATTCCAAGAATGAGGTAGAGGACTGCATGTAAATCCTCATCTGGAAGCAACCTTCCATCCTTTAAAGGATCATGCCACAAATCCTCCAACCTTAGGGTTGAAGAAGCCTGTTTTTGCTCCTCAACTTAGAACTACCCATCAGGCACAGACAAGCTAGGCCGAAGGAAAAGCACAATGACTACATTTTGGTAGACAACTCGCAACTCTGCCATGCAAGAACATCAAGGGAAGCACTGTCCACATGCCATGCTGAAATAGGAAAGAAAGAGGGTGTCCTGCCTTCTCAGGGGTGGGCGGCCGAGCAGCCAGAACATGAGAGCCCCGTTCCAGAGGTGGAGTATAAGGAACCTGAAAAGCACACAATTCACAAAGATTGAAAGATCGTCTGAAAGCTGCAGTGATTTGAAAAGAAACAAAACCCTGGATGTGGATTCAGAGAATTCCTGGTTTCCAATCCAAGCTTAGTTAAAGAATTACAAGCTTTGAGCCTAAGCCATTTTTAATTCTCGGCTTCGACACAACTCATAATGGCAATACTGTGGACATTCAGAGTATAACAGACATTTGTAAAACAGGGAAAAACTGCTGCAATATAACCCTCAAGTAACACACAAAATAACCCGTGCACAGCTTTTTCAGTATCAAAATGGACTGCTCTTGCAGTGGAATATCTTCTCCCAACTATTTCTACAGGCAGAGAGGAGGGGTGTTAAACAGCTTGCCATGTGGCATATGGATGCTTTTGAAGCATTTTTTAAAACACCCAGCATGGAAGGCAAGTGTCTATTCTGTAAAACCACGTAGAATGAGAACCGGTAGGGACACCTCAGTTTCTTCCAATATAAGATGACTGACAAGGAAGAGGAAATGCCTGTACATTATGCATTTGCAAAGCTTAACGGCCCCAGTTCATAGAACATGGCATCTGCAAGCCAGCAAATATTATGGCTCATCTAAGTAGGATTCAACACATCGAGGCTGCAGATATATCCTTTGGCATACGGGGGGAGGGGGCGTCACCCATTTTTCTTCTGTTTAGTCATAATAGTAGCAGGTGACATGTCTCTCTCAATCCAATTCAATGGATGCCACACACTTTCTTGTTGAAGCCCTCTGCAACTCAGCATTTATCGCAATTAGTTATCCTATCTATTTGTGCTTAGTGTTACCATAAATCCTGACAATTCTTTGGGGACAGCAGTTTCCAAAAAGCTGCTGGACTCCAAACTTATCTCTTGCAATAAGTCATCCCACCCCACCCCACCCCACAAAAGGATGCCATGCCTGCTCTGGTGGGAAGAACGAGTCCTCTTCTGTTTGGCAGCCAACTGACACCACTGTCTTGGCAGCAGAGACCACTCCAATGCTTTCTTTGGGAACCTGTGCTCGGGGAGAGGAGCACTCCTCCAAAAGCATTTCCCACTGGAGAAGGGGCTGAGGTGGAGGGGCGGAGGGCACATAGCGCAACTGAGGGACATGTGGCGATGGCGGTGGAGGCGGTGGAGGCGGCAAGGGAGGAGGAGGCGGTGGAGGGTGAGGGAGAGGTGAGGTTTTGACAGAAACAGCCCTGGAGACATCTTTAGGAATCTGTGGTGGGGGAGAAGGTGGGACAGAAACTGTTCTTCTTAGAGGGAGGGGTGATTCTGCAGGAATTATAACCTAAGGAAGAAAGCAGGAAGAAACATGAGAGAGTCCAAAGGCACTCAGTCCAGAAGAATTGTCATGTACTAAGCATAATATAGGACAGAAGATGCCTACCATCTTGTCTTGTGGAGAACAGAATCTCCATTTCGGAAAGCAGAAATGAATAGTCACAGAGAATAGAGGGGCAAGGGGAGGCCATGATATCTCTATGAGATATGATCATGTAACACCTCAACCACCTATTCGGTGGAGGGGCTATTAGTAAATGTGTAACAGTAGTAATCATCACCATCACCATCACGTCAAGAAACTTAAGAAACTTAAGTGGTAATGATAGACATCCAAGAGATTCAGGCTTCTTGTTCTACATCTGAGTGTGCCATACCTAAAAAACTAAAAATACATCAAAAGTGTTTGAATGTGTTTGATTTAAAGCACATTCCAGGCGAAGGCCTGATGACTGAACTGTGGGGCCTGGACCACATGTTTGGGTAGAATAGCAAGTTTGTTATCAGATTCCCAAGTAAGAGCATCTCCCAAGGTTGTGGCTTCATTAATGCAGCAAGAATTTTAGGTAAAATACAAACACTGCACAGCAGCATGAAATCTACTTCTCTTAAACTCAATACACACTTTACTGCAAACTATCTGGTAAACAGGCCAGCTCCATTACTTTCTTCTCTGTCCAGAGGAACACTGATGGCCAGCATTCTTAATGTTTGGATCCTTATTCACATAGATTTTCTTAATTTAACAAACAGCATATGTTTCTCAGCTTTCAGCTGCTTCTTTCAATCTCTGGGTTTGGAAGAACTATTATGGAAGCAGCAAGATCTGCGTAATTTACATGACGGATTTCTTCTTTTCAATGCAGGGATGTCCAGCGTGTGGATGAAACAGTTTTCCTGTGCTTCAAGGTATTGACATTGACTTTTCAGAAATGTTCCCAGTCATGTTCATCATATCAAACAGAAAAATTATTCTGTTGATCAGAGGAGGGGAAAGGCAAGGTGGTGTTTGCTACCTTTTCTACCTGCTGGCCACCATCCTGTTCCTTCTTCTGTGGCCTGGAAATGATGATTACTCCCTCAGTCAGCCAGTTGTCTGGGCTTCTCCATTCCTCTTGTTCTGGTTTGCTAATGCCCAACCTGTCTTGCAACTCCTCAATCAAACGGTCTTGGGAGACCGTCTTGTGGAAGATGGCAGGGCCCAGCTTGCGTCTCGGTGAAAGATCACGGCACATTGGGTGCACATTTGAGGTCTCTTTTGTTTGCTTGATTACAGATTTGATCTTAATGGGAAGAAAATAACAGTTTCAATGAGCTACAGCCAAACAACAAAACATCACAGAGTGCCCAGACTTTCAGCTTCCTTCTACAGAAGGGAGAAAAAACACCCACAATCGTGTTGGCATATCTACAGGCAATGCAGTGACATTCAGGAGAGCCCCTCATGGCCAGCCACATCAACTAAGCACACAACACTGACTGCAGAAAGTAAGCACATGTATTGCAATAAGCCGAATCCAAAAGCAGCCACCTAGCTAGGTTTCAGAAGAACCTTGAGGCAATCATGACGAATAGCAGCAATTTCATACCCCATGTAAAAGAAGCAGGGGAAGGATGGGAAAAAAAATCTGAAGAAGCCAATTCCTCCATGTCTGCATGGAGATATTGGTGTACAGTTTGCAGGGAAGTAGCTGCAGCAGCCCCTAGTATTAAAACCAACAAAAGTCCTTAAAGACCGATATTTCTTACAGAACAATCTTTCAAGGATAGCATTCCGATACATCAGTTCTGCAGATTGGTTTAGAGCTCAGGTGGCCAAGGTCCATGTCATAAACAAGGCAAAACGACTAAGGAGGTAAGGATAGTGACTTGGAAGAGATTCAGGCCACATCCCTGGTTCATTTTTCTTTACTAAAAGCAATCAAGCAGTGCTACATGCTCAGAACCCAAAAGAAAGCAAATGCAGATGAATGTCCAAAGGATTGCCACAAGATGTATGAAGGGCAGTGGTTTCTCAAACATCTTTCCATGCAGCTGCCGTCTCATCTACTTCACAGATGCATGCAGACTAGCTCAATTCAAAAGGGCCTGAAGCACATTGCATGCACAGACAAACTGGATGCATCATCAAAAGAAATCCCCACTAGATGCTCGTTCATTTGATGCCTGCCTGGCCTGATGTAGAAATCCTCTCCACAGGTGATCTGCAAGCGGGGATCAGATCCAGGTCTTCTCTCCAGGCATTTCCTGTAGACTCGGGAGAGCTGGAGAGAGGCTCTTTCCACTGGCACGTTGGAGAGTTCTGGAGACTATTTTTCCTGAAAACTCCCTCTGGACCATACTTCTTCTCAGTTACATCAGGGCAGCTGCTGGCTCTTGCTGGATCTCTGATTTCAACTCCTTGCTGCTGGGTATGGCCCAGTTGGCCTTTGGGGCCTGGGAAGCTCTCCCACTGATCCAGACTTGAAAGATCCAGAGTTTGTGTAGCTGGTGCGACAGCCTCTCCCTCCAGGGGTGTTCTTGGTGCAAACTGGGGTGCATCTAAATTACTCAGTTCATTGAAAGCTACTTTACTGGCCTCATTTGCCTTGTGAGCAGCAGCAGCACTTGGATCAAAGATGGCGGATGCTGCTTCCACATCCTTTGGCAATGACACTTTCACTTTGGTATTCATGCAAGGGCTCCTGACAGAAACGGCTGCAAATTTGGCTTCATATCTCTCCTTCTCCCTCCAAGGTGCTTTTGAGTCTGCTAATCTCTGATTTTGGGCTCCGGCATCAGACTGAATTGATAACAACTCCACCTCAGAAAATGAGAGAAAGGCCCCGTTGGACTCTCTGCCCAGGAGACTGGCTGAGGTCTCTATAAATTGTGGTTCAGACCAGGATTGAGAAGGATGATGTAGGGTGGCAAGAGAATGCTCTGGAATCACAGCACTGACCGGACTATTACCTTCTTCTTCAATGTGAAGTACTTCCAATGGAAGAGCTGTTAGTGGGCCACGCACATCCCCATAATCGACTATGATTTGCTGCTTTGAGGTAGTCAGAAGAGCCATAGGAGGAAGGACACTACCTGGATCTGGGCTAACCAGGCCAGGGAGGAGCTCCAGGGAGGGCTCAGAGGTCAGTGAGATGGTAGAACTGGTCTGCAAAAAAGAAGACAGAAACAGGGAGGGGAAAGAGAAAGACAGAAAAAAAAGATGGAAACAGGCTTGAAGAAAGAGAAAGAGGCCAAAGGGTTGGGGGGATGACAGAAAAAAAAGTAAAGCTATCCAGATTAGTTAGAAATAAGGAACCATTAGAAAGGAGGAGTCTGAGACGGAGAGCCTACCATATCCATATGACCAGATGTAAGTACATAGTGCAGAGGAGTTCTGCGCCGGTGCATACACCACATTAGTAATACCTTTTGCTACCTATCTGAATGATTGTTCAGAGTGTAACAAAGAGGGTTATTTTCAAATACATCACATACACCCATACAAAGTTTTCACTGTCTCACTGCAAAAAGAGTAGAGGCCAGATGTCACATTTTCTTAGCATGAACTGCTTATTTAAGACAAACTGCAAGAACCAGCTATAAAAAGCTCCATTGACTGTAACTTGAAGTCAGAAGCAATACAATGCACATGTAATTTAGCTTTCTAAACTGCACCATTCCAACAGAGCTCGCACACACAGCTACAAATTCCAAGCCGATGCTACCTTGCATGGCAGGCAAAATCTCCACGTTTTATGTGACAGCATTAAACATTGTTCTAATTACCTCTAAACTCCCATCATTCTTCCCAAAGTGACACATGTCTATCTTCTATCACATTTTAAAACAAGTCAATTTAACCATCAGCAGTGTTTTCCACACTCTTATTATGTGACTAAAACGTAAGCAAATTTAGAACACGACCCCCCCCACCACCACCACCACCTTACAACAATCAATTCTAAAATAAGGTAAACTGGGATGAGGGGATAGCGGCATTCTGGCCTATGGGGGTAATTCTCTCGACCGAAGTTCTTATCCAGCTAGCATTCTCCCCTTTTCTTTTTTTTCCATTTTTTATTTGAGAAAAAGTTAGTTATATAGACATATACTATACATTTCCCCCTCTTTTATTTTCTTTCACCCCTGTGCTCCTCTTCACCAGAGCCATCTCTTCTTCTAAAGTACCACCAAAAGTTCAATTCTTCATTTGGAGGTAAATTCCCATCTTCTTTTTCCAATACTTTTTCTAAAAATGTTCTCCAAATAATTTCAAAGTCATTTTTTCCATAATCCCTTCTTTACTTTTAAGTTTGATGTTAGCTTATCATTCAACACCATTTTCCAGACTTCTTTATGACATTCATGAATTTGTATTTTCATTTCTCCTTTCCAATATTTTGCAATTCATAATCTAGCCGCTGTTGATAGCATGTCTATTAATTTTTTCCCTCTTGTCTTTTCCATCCTCTCTTTTAATTAAAAGTAATATTTCTACTGGATTCCTTCTAATTTTTATGTCCATAATACTTTCTATTTCCCTTACAATCAATTCCCAAAACTCTTTTACATATTTGCAATCCTACCACATATGCATGTAGGTTCCAACTTCCTGGCATCCTCGCCAACATTTTTCATTATTGTTCTTATTCATAATGTTTAACCTTCTCGGTGTTAAATACCACTTCCAAATTGATTTATAATAATGTTCTTTTATTCTAATTGACATGTGTTTTAATTGTCTTGCTTTCCATATCTCTTATCATTCTTTTTCAGTTATCTTTGTTCCTACTTCCTCCTCCCATAATTCGCTTAATGTTAATCTTTTTCTTTTTTTTCCTGTGTCTTTAATTAATATTTTATATATTTTACTTTTGCTCCTTTTAATTGTTCGTTATTTTTTTAATATTTTTATTATTATTTCCTCAAATTGCATTATTTGTTTTCCAGTTTTGTTTCAGACCAACCCATTTTTATTCCATTTTTCTAACTGAATCCAGTGGAGCCATGAAATATTTATTCTTCTCAATTCTTCTCTCATTTTTATCTTTTCCATTTTTCATTCTATCCAATTTCCTACCCTTTTTTCTAAGTCTTTATCTAAAATTCCTTTTAGTTCCTTTGGGAAATCTTTTTCCATTATTATTGGTGTTAATATTAGCAATAGCAAGCTATTTAAAATCTGCAATGGCTTTCCAGCAAAATGAAGTCTGGTCTGCAGCATGCAATGCTTCCGCATGGAACAGAAGCTCCAGTTTCCAGATGGCAAAGGCTTTTCATGGCTGAAATATGGTGTATTTACGACTTACACCCACTTTGAACCGGCCCCATTCTGTGCCTTTAACTCCCACCTATCACTGGATCCAAATGAGATCATTCCCAAATTGGAAGTTGGCTCCTAAGCTGAAAAGCTGAGCCCTACTGCAGAGTGAAGGAGGTTAATGGCCATTCCAGTTAGGGGGGAGAGCGGGGAGGAGAGAATCGGTTGTCTGTTCTTAATTGTATTACTGCTTTTCCGCATTGTGTATCATTATTAATGATCAAAGCTGGAATTATTGCCCACTGGGGGAAGAGAGGTGTTTCAAAGGGGGGAGATGGAGGGAAACAACAAGCGGTTATCAAAGAGAGATGCAGTGGAGGAAGGGAGCAGCTGCAACATTGTGGGAGAGGGGAATTCAATGGAGTATTGATTGCTTTCAAACTGTCTCCCAATTCAAAGTCAGAGCAGCTTTGGGAAAGGAAAAGCAGTCATCTAGCACCTGTACAACTGTTCTTTCATATTCAAGACACTGTTGTATTACATTGCCATAATACAAGCATATCAAAAGCTATTTCTACACCTCGCTTGTACAAATAAGATGGATTATAAATGCCACTACCAGTAATATCCTTTCAACATTTTTTCTGGTTTTTAACTTTACTCCCTGTTCAGAAATTTCTTACATAAATCTCTTCACCTCTTCCTCACCCTGCTTTTCATCTGAGAGTAAAGAACACACTCTTTAGTTATAAATGAGAAGTGAACAATAGCACCCATATGGAATTGGAAAGTGCGTGTGCGCTGAGAAAAAAGTCCAATTGTTGTATTCGGAGAAAACTAGGCTTGTGTTATTAAATGGGATTGGAAGCCTCCTCCATGAGGACAACAATGTCACAATGAATCAAGCACCAAAACACCTCAGATTGGTAGACTTTAACATATAAAAAGTGTGGGGGAAAGTGATACTGTACAGGGTGGGAGAGAATGCAAAAAAGGCAGGACATACACACTACAACCAACTAAGAAAGGATGGACTGGGCACCTTGAAATCTGAGAGTGAAGCCATCAGTTCATCCAGTTCTCTTGTTGCTGATGAGGCAGATATGCGTGTCTGTTGCTGGCTAGCGGTGACCCGCTGTGGGCTGCTCATTTCACCTTGATTCACAGTGATAGCGGGACTAATGGAAAAAACACAGCAGAAAATCAGTTGACAGCAGGAAGGGGAGACCACAATCTTAACGCAGAGAAAAAGCCTTTGGTCCTGTATCAACAGGGCCTTGTTATCTGACTCTACTCCTGTGCACAGATCACCATTCAAAATTCCCCTAAAGAACAGCCTGAGAATCTGAGAAATGGGTGCATGACAATCCAGTAATATACCTATTTGGATAGATATCACGATCCAGTCCATGCACATTTGAAATTGTGGATCCAGATCTCATAGATCCAGAGGGCCCACTGTATAAACCAGGGGTCCTCAAACTAAGGCCCGGGGGCTGGATACGGCCCTCCAAGGTCATTTACCCGGCCCTTGCTCAAGGTCAACCTAACTCTGAAAGAACACAACAACAATAACAATCCTATCTCATCAGCCAAAAGCAGGCCCACACTTCTCATTGAAATACTAATAAGTTTATATTTCTTTAAATGGTTCTTCATTTTAATTATTGTATTGTTTTTAAGTGCTTTTGCACTACAAATAAGATATGTGCAGTGTGCATAGGAATTCATTCATGTTTTTTTCAAATTATAATCTGGCCCTCCAACAGTTTGAGGGACTGTGACCTGGCCCTCTGTTTAAAAAGTCTGTGGACCCCTGGTATAAACCAACAAACAATATAGGAGGCAGTGCTCCAGCAATCATAAATGAAGCAGCAAAGTAACCAAAATGAAGTTGAAAAACTAGCATTTCCTTACTTACTTACTTACTTACTTAGGCGATCCCTCGTTGGACGAGTAAGATGGTCTTCCATCATGGGTTTCCTTGTGGGTCCGTATGTGGCTGTGGAGCCCTATTCTTGCTCTGCATCTTCTTCCGCAGTGAGGGCATTGGTTTCCAGGTGGAAGGCGGTCCCGGTTGGGGTTGGCTTGACGCGCCTTCCTCCTGGCACGTTTCTCTCTTTCACCCTCCATTCGTGCCTCTTCAAATTCTGCAGCACTGCTGGTCACAGCTGACCTCCACTTGGAGCACTCAAGGGCCAGGGCTTCCCAGTTCTCAGTGTCTATGCCAGAGTTTTTAAGGTTGGCCTTGAGCCCATCTTTAAATCTCTTTTCCTGTCCACCAACGTTCCGTTTTCCGTTCTTAAGTTCGGAGTAGAGCAACTGCTTTGGGAGACGGTGGTCAGGCATCCGGACAGCGTGGCCGGTCCAGCGGAGTTGATGGAGGACCATCGCTTCGATGCTGGTGGTCTTTGCTTCTTCCAGCACACTGACGTTTGTCCGCTGTCTTCCCAAGAGATTTGCAGGATTTTCCGGAGGCAGTGCTGATGGAATCGTTCCAGGAGCTGCATGTGACGTCTGTAGACAGTCCACGTCTCACAGGCATATAGCAGGTTGGGAGGACAATAGCTTTATAAACAAGCACCTTGGTATCCCTACGGATGTCCCGGTCCTCAAACACTCTCTGCTTCATTCTGGAAAATGCTGCACTTGCAGAGCTCAGGCGGTGTTGTATTTCGGCGTCGATGTTGACTTTGGTGGAGAG